TATTAAATTAGTGTAACTATTTACATTACAATAAACGCAAAACATTTAACTAAACACTTTTTCTTTTGTTATTCCATAATAATTACATAGGCTTACAAAAAAAATTTTCCACATATTAAACCAAACAACTATATCTCTATGTTCTACGACGCGCTGAATGCGAATCCGAGGTTCGAACGTCAGGTTCGTGGTCATTTAAAGGTTAGGTAGGAAAAAACTCATTGAATAATCCTGAAAATTCAAAACAATTATTTTTAATTTGACTTCTAAATAACGTTGGCCTGATCCCCATAAGTATTCGGATTCAGCGACAACAAAAACCTATGTATATAAATTCTTATCTTTGTTCAATATTCCATATTTGACGCCCAACTGACCCGAACCAGACATTACGGAGGTTGAGCGACCTCGGATAACGAGGTTTGCAGAAACGGTACTTTCGTTGAATTTTAATCCTTAGAATTAAAGTATTCGCAATCAAGCATGTTATAATTGCAATTAAAGTAATCGTTATCGTATATAATTTAAGGATTACAATTAAGCATCGTAAGTGAAATGTAATCGTTATCATAAAGTCCCCAGCTCTGCTTGCAAAATCCTACATAAGTGAGTTAACTAGAAACCTATAAGTCTATAATTCGCCTATTCATTCGCAAATAAGAGCTCGTGTTGCTATACGGTATGCACCTAGAAGAGATTTATTGCGTATCGCTTATCGGAGTTCGAGGCTTCATCGCGAAATCGATAACAAATAAATCTAAAACATTGATTCCAAGTAGATAAATATATAGCGCAAATCACAATTATACGTCGCCCAAATATTCAGAAGTTTTGTCTATAAATTTTGTTATTATTTAATCTTCTTTTAATTTTTTATGAAAACATAGTTTGTTCTTTCACAAAAACAGTATAAATGCAAGTGGCTCATTCCACGGTAATCGATACCGAATGAAACGAAAATAAACTAAAGAATATGACTGCATTATTTCCAGTAAGTAATAGTAAATAAATCTAACTTTCAAGACTGAAAGCCAAAATTCTGAAATTTATCTAAAAATCAGATATTTTTTTTACTTTACAAACCCATATGAGAGGTTAATGTTTTTCAAAATTTACAAGACTGATTTTCGTAGTCTATTACCTTTTTTGCATTGTTTAAACCGTCAGTGGAGAGACAAATTCGTTAGCATTGTAACGGCGTAATTTTCAAATTTTTCGGGCAAGTACTAAATATTTTATTATATATTGAAGAAAAGCATATTTTAATGTCACGCCCGTCACAAGATACACAAAATAGTTATTTTTTGAAGGAAAACACATCTTGGACAGTGTAAAAAAAGCTGACGAAAGTAACGCTATGACACAGGGAAATATGTGCGAATTGCTTTTAAGTATTTATATGCTTTTATTTTCGAAAAAAGAACCGATTATGTTGGTCACGCCCGTCACATGTCACACCCGTCACAATTTAAAGTTTGACAAACTTCAATAAATTCGGCTAGGGACTGCTACCGTTACTTATCAGCTAATCTGAAATGTGTCATATATCTGTTTGTGATCAGCGATGATAAAGCTAATCATAAAGATATGTTGCTCGAGCGATGGGAAAACTTAAGCTATGCTGTCACGGATAAAAATATATCATTACTTCGCTTGTCAGGGCAAAAAAAGTATCTGAAACGATTTTTTCAGGTAACGGCCTCGGTTTGACAGGTAATAGCCTCATACTATTTAAAAATAAGGTACTTTACAATTACTAAGACATACAATGGCGAAGAAGAGTCCGATCAAGGACTATCCCGCCTTTAGGTGGCAGAATCTTGTATGCGTTCGTAAAATCCGATTTTTTGAGAAATAACGTTAGCTTAGTTGTCTAATAATGTGTATTTATGCATTCATGCTCAACTTGTCACACCCGTCACAAAGTCAAGTCACACCCGTCACAGTTTAATTTGTAACATATAATCTATAATTTCCAATAGGGGCAAGCAACTTTGGCGTAAATGTTGAGAATGTTTATTTAACTATACAACGAACTATTTAAAACCATAAGCAGAAGACATAATTAGCAGAAAAACTGTGGTGCAAGTAAGGAGTAGTTAATTTGGTTTGCGTACTCTTCACACCCGTCACAGTGACTAAAATTCAGATAACTCGTTCGGATTAAATTGGTTTTGGAATTTTTATTCCAGGCATTGTGTATATCTCGGAAACCTATTACAAAATACTCGTTTTAAAGAATTTTGTATTACAGTTTAAGAATTAACCCTTAAAATGTGAGTTGAAATATCACACCCGTCACCGTGGAATTAGCCAAGTTTTAAACTATGCTTAAAGTAGCTAAGACTTCCGTTTATTTTTTACAAATCATTTTTTTTTGAAGGTAACTAAAAACATCATACTAAAAATCTTTCAAAGAAATCTAACCATAAAACTCGAAATTTTTACGAAATTTGGTTTCTTTTATTTGAATATTGCAAAAAGTATTTGTTAGAGTATAACATGTCAATATGTGGGTGGCATATAATTGTGATAAGCACTATAAATATTAGGGTTATGACTTTCTTTGAATTTTGCAAATGTTTATGTCATATGATACCCCTTGGTAGATAGCTTCGGGAAACATACTAATTTTTTGAAGACTTAAAAACATGTCGCGCACAAGGACATTTAGAAAAGGTAGATCAAAAAACTTTTACTGAAAATGTATACCTTTACCTTATCGACTATTTGGCTATATCCTTACCAGGCAAGACTAGATGCTTTTTGAATGCATGTCAGATAAAAGCAAAAGTTCAAAGCTATTGTTAAGACATACGTATGCCGTGAAAGCACGATAAAAATTATGTGTTTTTCGCTGAATTAAATTTAAGAAAAGTAGTAATTTTATCAGAAAATCACCTGATTTTTGGCGTATTTGCTAAGATACGCGTTAACCAGAATGTACCAAATTTTTTCTGGACTGACCCCTCAAAGCATCCTATGGCAAAATTTTTATGTTAAAAATTATGGAAATTTCGCAATAATTTGCAAACTATAGCTCAAAGAAAAAAACTTAATAAATGGAGTACACTACTGGCCATATTTTAGGTTCTGACAAATAAATCGTAATGATTGTGGAGACTATTGGTTGTATTAGAATTGGATTTTCATAAAATGCATCTTTATTGACCTGCGTTCGTACCTTAAACCTGTATGGTAAACTTTGTGACGCTATTTTCGTTACTTCTATTCCTTATGTGGGATTCTCAAGTGAAATAAAAACATCGAGCGATGTCGATTTTATTTGAGTTTATAAAAATAGAAATTCTGTAATGCGCGACACTTTTTTTTATATCCGAACAAAGTAATGTAATTTTTTGGCTTTTGAATCTAAATAATAAAAGTCATAACCCTAATACATATACATATGTATGTATTGATTACGTGAAAATAATAGTTAATACCCACATACAAGTGTACATAAAAAAGTTCATAAATATCTCAGGGACCTATTGACATACATCTGTAAATTACCTTCAATTTCCTTTCGTCATAATCACGTACGTGATTAAAAAGTGAGATTGCCATTGATTGGGGAAACCCTATAAACTTTGTATAGGACCCGAAAAAAGGTAGTTGATGTTAAGAAAAGTTGTGTGATGAATGTGACTTATGACAATATAACAAATTTCTTATGTACATGCATACATAAGTACATATTGAAAATAATAATAATTAAAATGCCGCATTGCTGTATACTTGGGTTTGTTGACTATGGACTCAAGATATGATGAAAAATGTATGCATTCCACTTGCACTTTTCATTCGCAGTTACGCACGTACTTGATAAAACTTAAATTGCAATGTTTATACCCTGCAGGCAAGAGTACCGGTACTTGCTATATGACTTACCGATAACAAAAACAAAACAATGGTCTTAGTTACGGTTCTTATGTACAAAACGAACGGCAACTTTAACATGAGATTGTCATAATAATTTTTTTAATCTCGCCATGGCGTCACACAGTGTAACCTGAATATATGGAAGGGGGGGGGGGGCATCCTACATAAATGGCTTTCAGAAGAATGCCGTGACTTGTCTCCGTCGCATTAAAACCCTGGAAGGCCTCGAAGTACGTTCAGATCATGTTGCCGTTAAGTTGGTTATTGTAGGCAACGGTTGAGTCGCCCCTCCCATCGTCTGGCACTGAGTTTTCGCCAGATAAGGCTAAGGCGTCAATCAATCCTACCCGTTCTTATAGACAACACTTGACCTTATAGTGACTACAAAGCTCGATTGAGGATAGTGAAATCGAGTTGGGTCTCCCAAATCGGGGAAAGGCAGTGCCTAATTCTCCTTCTAGCCCTTTGGAGGGAATTTCAGGAACGGCTCTGGGGTAACCTCTGTAGCCCTGGGTGCCTATTAAATGCTGGAACGGCCGCGAAGCCAGTCTTCAATGGGATAGGGGGGGTCTAACGGCATGGATCTTGTGGGGAAAGGCGACAAGCGGCCGCAAATAATAGCGCAGGGGGAGTCGCTGCGAGGGAACTACGGGCGGCTCTAACATCTAATCTCTAATATCTAACAGGCCACTGCCTTATAGGTAAAAACATAGAA